GGCTATATCACTGGACTCCCACGTAGTCGACCGCGGTTTGTATCCTGGACCCGGTGGCTTAAAACTCACGCTGGGTGCATGTGTGTGCGTGCCCAAGATCCTGAGAGGAGAATGGAGGAAAAGGGATTGCGGTGTGGTCATCTCCCCTGGGGGGTGATTTATCGCTTTCTGTCTCTCTGTCTCTCTGTCTCTCTGGCGAGTGCACGCGCTCTATAGCAAAAAACCTCTCCAAAAAAAAAAAAAAAAAGCCTTAGGAGGCAACTGCGATAATCCAGGATGGAGTATTGGACCATGGCTAGGATCATGATAACAAAACTGGAAGGGAAAAGCATCAGGATTCTGAATAATTTTGAAGATAAAGACAGCAAAATTCACTGAAGTGCTGGATGTGGCATAAGAGGGAAGGAAGAAAGCAAAGGATGATTCCTGTTATAAGTGGCCTGAGCAACTGAAAAGCCAGAGTTGCCATCTATTCAGATGAAGGCTACAGATCGCATTGTACAAATGGGAATCAGGCATTACGGCATTTTCTCCTCCACACAGAAATAGTTCTATGCCCTGGCCTGCAGGGTGAAGGTACGTGGGACCCCAAGTAGGAAAGGATGATAGATTGAATAAAGACAAAGACACAGACACACAAGTAGAGAAAGCAGGGATCGAGCAGACTGGGTGTCTCTGATGGAGAAGGGCACGGCTCTGAGCAGAGCCAGCCAGACAGGGTTATAGTTGCTCAGGTACACTTGGCATGTTCAGGTTGACTCAGGATCTAAATGTGGCTCCAAGTCAGGCAGCAGTGTCCCACTGCCTGTACCACTGTGGCTGGGCCTCTTTCTTATTTTAGACTTTTACCTTACGCTCTCTCAATTTCCATTTATTTGTTTATTTTTGCGACAGGGTATGTGCACTAGCCAGAGGAAGACAGAGAGGGAGAAGAAAAAGCACCCTATCCCGCCATGGGGAATGGTCATGCTTCAATCCCTTCTCCTCCACCTCTCCCTTCTTTTGGGATTCTGTCCACTCGGGCACCTGTGCCTGATATTCTTTTTCAAGCTACTGGGTCTGGGATTCGAACTATGCATTTGGCCACGTGGTATCTGGCTGCCTTAGCCACCAGGCATGGAGATGACCCTCTATTTTTACATTTTTAAGTTTATTTCTTTCCTCCATGATAAAGGAACGAAGAGAAACAAATACCCCCAACATGATCCCCATGTTGTGATCCACCCTGAGTCTTAGCTAGCCTGGATCATGGGCATATGTATAAACTCAAAGTGTTCAATAAGATCTGAGATGCAAACCCAGGCTCTTTCCTATGTGGGTCAGTTGTCATCACTGTACTACAGCCTGGCCAATTTCTATTTATTATCTCATTTGATTAACCCTTTATGTCTCTATATTATCCCATTTAATTCTCATAAAACTTCCATGAGATAGCGACAAGAAATCACCCTAATTTTATAGATAGGAAGAAATTAAATTAATGGGTAAAAGGAGAGCCCAATAGGCTGTTTTCCATTAACCACTCTCTTTTTTCCTTAATTATTTTATTTGTCCTTCTCTAAATACTTTATCCTGGTGTTGTCTTTAGGATTAGATGCTGGGGTGGGAGGCAGCTGGTGCTGTGGTGGTTAAGGTAGCTAGAGCCTGCATGGCTGACTGCACTGTATGCATGCCCAAAATCCCAAGAGGAGGATGGAGAAGGGATTGTGGCATGGCAATCACCTCTAGTGGGTACATTTTCACTCTCCTACTCTCTCTCCTTTCTCTCTCTCTCTCTGGCAAGTGCCATGTGCCCTATAACAACAACAACAACAACAAAACATTAGGTGCCAGAACCTCTCATCAGCTTTTCTAGGAAGATTTTAATATAAGGATAAGACAGAGCTTTCTGATTTTCTGATTTATTTCTAATATTTTTTCTGGTAATGCTCAAACATTTTTTTAGGTTTATTTTTTAATGTTTAAGCAATTACAGAAACAGGATTAGCACTTTAATAAAATTTACAGGGGCAACTTAGTCTTATGGTTATAACAAGTTTTCTTGACTACAACATCTAAATTAATCTAAATTATTTCCCTCTAAATTACCTTATACACATGTACACAGTGAGGCCCATTTGCTTTGTTTCTGGCTTCTTGCACAATCATATGTAAATTTCCCATTGATTTTCCTGTCAGTTTGGCGTTAAACTATCCACAAGTGCTTATTTCACTTCCATGATTATTATGATATGATTATTATCAGATTTTTGCCATAGTGTGTGTGCAGTCATCAGAGAGATGAAGAGAAACAGAGAAAGAGTGGAAAAGTGAGAAATCACCCCCCCAAACACACACACACACAGGGAATGGCCATGTTGGAATCGCTTCTCCATTCTCCTCCCAGGATTGTGGGCATGCACACACACGTTCTGCGTGTTTTTCAAGCACCTGGGTCCAGGACTTGAACTGCAGAGATGGCCATATGGGATCCAGCACCTTAATCACCATGCCACCTACTGGCCCCAATTCCATAGATATTAAACTGTTAGAGTTAAAAGATAATTTCATTGACCAGGCAAACAATTGTTTTTCCAGAACAAACACAGTAATACCTAAATACTGTTTTAAAATCTTTTCAGTGTGATTAAAAAAAAAAAAAAATACATGTCAAAAGAGAAACAATCTGTGGGCCAGATGGTGGTACAATAGTAAAACGTGAAGCTCTGTAAGGCTAACCCATGTGAAAACGTTGCCAGTTAACCTCTAGACCCCCTCCTTGAATATTCATGTATCCATGATCTGGGTTGGCAGAAGCTGGGTATAAATTGTGAAGTTAAGAAAGACCCTGTGGGAAGTGGGAGAACCTGGCAGGGAGTTAGGTGATTAAGGTGCTGGACTCGCACATGGTTGACTGAGGTTTGAATCCTGGACTAGGAGGCTTGCTTTCTCACTCTCTCTCTCTCTCTGTCTCTGTCTCTCTCTGGTTAAATTGAATAATAAATAAAATTAAATAAATTTTATAAAGAACCCTTTGGTGTACCATATCTCTGTCCCCCCCGCCCCCCTCTGTGTCTTCCTCTCTCACTCATAGAAGAAATAAACTTAAAAATACTTTTTGGGACTGGCAGGTGGTGTAGTGGTTGGAGCATGGGACTGACTGGTTTGAGTCCTGAACTTGGCAGCTTGCTTTCTTATATTCCCTTTCTCTATATTTGTTTATTTGTGGTCAAATTAAAAAATAATAACAATAAATAAAATTAAATAATTCTTACAAAATATATTTTTTAAAAGGAGAAATAATCTAAGTTTTCAAAAGGTATTTTACAAAGTGTCACACCAAAAATTAGTAACATTAGATGAAAAAAATTCACTATAGCACAAAGGAACATTTGTCACGTCAGTCAATGGAATTAAAGATAGAATACAAATAGTAAGTGTAAATTGACTTATATTTTCCCCTAAATAATGTGATGAACCTGTTAGAGAAATCCCAAATTATCATGCCATTCTCACTTTACATTTCCTGTTTGTTTGGAATTCCTCTTCCAGCTTGGACCAACTGTCTTACTTCCTGGAACTCGTCATAGGGTATTCTTTTGTATTCACACTACTGAAACTTGGTTTCCTCTTTCCTGTACTCCAGACTTGCTTGCATTAGCTTTCTCTTTCCTGTTCTTGGAAGGTCTCATGTCTTATTAAAAGTTAAGCTTTGGAATGGTCCCCATGCCCTAGTGGTTAAAGGAACTGGAACCCACATGGCCAACAGTGGCTAAAATCCTGGATTGGATCTTGAAAAATCATGCCATTCATATGTGTCCAAAATCTCAATAGGAAGGAGAAATGGAGGAGAAGGAGTTGAGGTGTGACCATATCCCATTGAGGGAGGATGTTCTTTTCCTTTTTCTCTCTCTAGCCGGCACATATAGCCCTGGCAATTAAAGATACAAAAACTAAGCATTAGGTTCAGCTCTGTAGCACAGTGATAATATACTGCTGGAGAGAAGTCGGATCTCACATGGTGATGGTGGAATCCCAATCCCTCAGCCCAAAACATTCTGGACATGTGCCGAAGTGCTCAGGATTGGTGGGACTGGAGGAAGGGGATTGTGGTGTGACCAGTCCCTGTGGAGGGTGCCCAATTCTTTCTCTCACACGTGTGCATTGGCACTCTATCATGAATGAAGAAAAATAAACATTAAGCATCTAGAAGGCCTTCCTGATTTCCCAGCCAAAGTACTCTCTATATTATTTTTTTGTTGCTTTCTTCATCCAGCCTCCTGGGTTGCAAGTCTCTTCTGTACATCAATTTGTAAATTCCAGAACACTTATCAAAGCGTCTCATGACATTTTTTGTTTAATCAGTTTAAGGCATATCACTTAAAAGTCCCTTTTTGGCCAACCATTCCATGGTTACTCTGTTAACTAATTGTTCATCTTGGGCCATTGGCTTTTTTTTTAAAAAATATTTATTTATTTAATTTCACTTGTTATAATTATTTTTTAATTTGACCACAGAGAGAGAAAAGGAAAGTGAGAAGGCAAGCCACCAGGTCTAGGACTCGAACCGCGGGAGACCATGTGGGAATCCAGTGCCTTTAACCACCACGCCACCTGCCAGCCCAGACTTTTTCATGCCACATACAAAATTTTTGTGTGTGTGCCATATTTGAAACTCATGTTAGGAAAAGTGGTAGGAACCCATTTCAGCTACCCTGAGAAGAAGAGTCTGACTCTGGAGGCAAAAAAAACATGGGGCTACCACTCAGAGAAGCGTGAGGTGGCAGTACCCGTATTTCGTTAAAACATGAGGGCGCATTGGACTGCATATACATTATTTAGGTCTTGGTCACCTGCGCTAACTTAAAAGGCTCATGCGCAGTACCACAACCCGACAAAATCACTTCTCAAATCCCGGGAAATTCGAGCTTCCACCGCTCACGCTGAGCGGCGGCGAACTGCCTCCTTCCCTCCCAGAGACAGGGGCTGTCCGCGCCCGCCCTCGCCACGCCCCTCGCCACGCCCGGGCGGGGGCGCCCTGCATGCTGGGAGTCGTAGTCCCGCCTCGCAGCGCCCCCAAAACGGAAGGGCAGAGTAGCCTAGCGAGCCCCTCTGACGGTTGGATGTCAGGTGCCTTCGTTCTGCTGCTTGCTTTTGTTCTGCCGGGCAGATCAGACAGCGAGCGCGGCTTGATTTGACTGTGCCACCGGTCCTTTTGGCTTTCAATAAAGTTTACGTCTTCCTCTCCTTGTACGGAGCTCAAGATGGCGGCCTCCTGGTCGCCCTTGGTTACCCTGCGCTCCCTAGCGCGGAGCCGGCTGACAGAGAGAGGTTTTGGGTGCGGGGCCTGGGCCGCCGCTCTCGCTCCTCTGGCCACCGCCCCTGGGAAGCCCCTTTGGAAAGGTCAGTGACGGTGCCATGAGTAGGCCGAGCCGAGTGTGCTTACGACCGGAGGAGCCTCTGGTCACCCTTCTCTGATCTCGCTCAGCTGCCTTCTAGTTTCACGGGTGTTCGGAGCTGAGGTCCCCTCGGCTGGAATGTGTTTCTCTCGCCCTTCGGTACCGCTTTTCCGTGCAGGACCCCTGAGCACCAAGGGAGAGTGACTTCATTTTGAGGGTCGAAGGTCGATCCCAGAGTTAGTTCCCTCCGGACCTTAGCGAGCTGAGATGTGATCGCACGAATAGGAAGGAGCTCCTGGCTTGAAGGGGCACCAGCGGGAGCCCGGGGCCTGGGCGCCCTCACACCATGCTCCTTCCCAAGCTCTAGGGCTGGTGACTGGGCACTGGGTTAAGAGCCCGCCTCCAACCCCTGCAGGCCCTGCTGATTGTAGGGGTTCTGGAAACCAGGTCCTAACGCGTTTTCAGGGAGAGGGATCTATTCTTGGTGTTGTCTAATTACTAGAGATTTCAAAGCCACCGTGCTTTCCTCATTCATTTCTTCAATTGAATTTATTTCTTCAATGAATGAACGTATATTTTGAGTAACCAAGTCCGCACAGTAACGTTGATTTTACTGCTCTCTTTCATAAACTCTCACTAAACAAGGTTACACAGAGGCAAGGACATTGTGTCATTGTTTCCTCAGCGTTCTTACTTAGCACAGTGATTGGTACCTAATGGACAGATGTGATTTTTGAATGAAATTTTTCTCATTGTCTATCCCCCATCCACCGTAAACTTATGCTTTCCTTTTACTCATCTCCACCTTTTGTATAGACTTTAATAAATGGATTGTTTTAACAAAGTGTATGTTCTACTAAAAAATGGAATCTGGTTGGCTAACTTAGCTAAAACTGTAATAATCTTTAACTGTTATCAATGCAGTAAAAATTGATCCTAGAACTAAGAATTTGGTCACTTTAAGTTTTTCTATAAAGATCACCTTAATGCACATAGTGTGTAATGGACTATTTTGATAGTATAAGCTATGGGTCGTGACAATTTATTTATTTATTTTTTTGATAATCAATAAAAGCAAAGGATACGAAAGTCAAAAGTTACAGGAAGGATACAGTAAAATATCAAACTATTCTATCTCTATCTCTTTGATGCTTAGTTTTCCTCTCTAGAGGAGACCTCTCAGACTGTGTAGTTTCTTGTACATTCTTTCAAAATTCTGGGTAGGTACAAGCAGATATGTATGTAACTATTTTTTTTTAAAAAAGATGATGTAATGTACTCAACACTGTGTTCTGTGTATAGAACAGTTCTATTAACCCCAAATTAATTTTTTCATTTAGTGTATCTCAGAGATCATTCTATATCAGATAATATAGAGCTCCTTTATGTTTTATACTCTTAAAATGGTATTATTTTAATATTAATAGTGATACTTAATAGTAATTTAATTATGGGCTTGCCAGAGAGAGACAGAGAAAGGGAAAGTGAGAAATTCCTCTCCTCCCAACGGAGAATGGCTACGGCAAGTCTTCTTGGGATTTTGGGCATTCAAGCACAAGTGCCTAGTGTGATTTTCAAGCTGCCAAGTTCAGGACGCAAACTACAGTTGACCATGTGGGAATCCAGCGCCTTAACAAGCGGACCACCTGCTGGCCCTAGCCAACATACAAGATTTATCTAATGCAGGACCAACAGTTAGCGTAATGGCTGTGTCGCTGGACTCCCACGTAGTTGACCAAGGTTCAAGTCCCAGACCTGGTGGCTTAAACAAACGCCGGGTGCCTGTGTGTGCATGCCCAAGATCCCAAGAGAAGGATGGAGGAGAAGGGATTGCGGTGTGGCCATCCCCCCTGCGGGGTGATTTCTCGCTTTCTGTCTCTCTGTCTGTCTGGCGAGCGCAGGCGCCCTATAGCAAAAACCTTTCCAAAAAAAAAAAAAGATTTACCTAATGCTTATTCTGTGTTACAGGATATGCTAAGTGCTCTCTATATATGTTATTTTGTTTCATTTTCATTATTCTCTTTTTGGAGATAATGAATCTAAGGTTACAGAAGTTGTATGGCTAGTAAGTTGTATGACTAATTAGTAGAATTTGTGGGTTCAGTCAAAGCTATTCTTGGATTTACATGTGATGCCAAAGGCTATGCTGTTAAGATAAACTCCTGCTGCCTTTGATACTAAAAATTTAGCCAGTTCTGGGTGTAAAGGTTTGATGGAAAAGTACTTAGATTATAGGTTGATTTAATTGTAGCTAAAGATGCTCCCTCTGCCTTCTTTTAAAGATTTTTGCCATAGGATTCACTCTCTTGCCAGAGATAGACAGAGAAGGACAGTGAGAGAGAGTGAGAAATCACCACCCAGGATGAATGGCCACACCACAACCCCTTCTCCTCCATTCTTTTCCTGGGATTTGGGGCACACATGCTCACACGCCTAGTGTGATTTTCCAAGTCATGAGGTCTAGGACTTGAACAGTGGTCAGCCATGTGGGTGTCCAGCACCTCAACCACCACATCACCTGCTGGCTTACACATAGGTTTTCTATTTCTTTCTTGACATTTTTTTAGTTATTTACTGTTTATGTTTATATATTAGCTCCTTTTTTCTTTTTTCATCTTTTGAAGTCTATTTAATATAGCGTAATGTGAGCCAAGCATTGGCTTAAAGTTAAACAAATGAAGGAAAGGAATGAGGATAAAGGAAGAGCATGTTCTTAACTTTATTTTTAGCTCCCATCTTAGCTTTAGTGACAGCTCCGGCTCTGAGACATTTTGTAAACTGCAACTATGAGAATTTTAGAGTCCTTAAATGTTGTTCATCTAAATCACACACCTGATTTCCTAACTTTAAAGTCTTTAGAAATACAATATTATGAATTTCATTTTGGGATACAGTTATCTATATTAGGAAGATTATTAAACAACTGAAAGTAAAATATGATATATCATTTAGGTATATATGTTCTCTTTTGATTTTACAGCCTGTTTTCTTTTAGGTCCAAGCATTTCTTCATTTACTGTAACAATTATTCAACTCCTAGGACCTGCAATTGGTGTAATGACTATGTCATAGGACTCCCATGTAGTTGACCACAGCTCAAGTCCTGGACTTGGTGGCTTAAATTCATGCTGGGCACCTGTGTGTGAGTGCCTAAGATCCCCATAGGAGAATGGATAAAAAGGGATTGCAGCATAACCACACCTCCCTGGGGAGGTGATTTCTTGCTTTCTGTCTCTCTGTCTTTCTGACGAGTGCACGTGCTCTAAAGCACAAACCTCTCAAAAAAAAACGAAACAAACAAACAAACAAACAAAAAAACAGTTATTCAACTCCTGATAGTTAAATGGAAGCTTTTTATTCAAAATCCAACTAGCCATGGTATAAGTGAAAATGAGTTAAAATCGTTAAATCAGGGACTGTCCCTGTTGCCTAGTGGTTAAGGGAGCTGGCTCCCATATGGCCAACCACCTGATTTGAGACCTGGAGGCTTTAAAAACATTCTGTGTATGTGTGCGTGTGTGCTCCAAATTCTGATAGGCTGGAGAAATGGAAGAGAAGAGAATGTGGCATGACACAGGAGGTACTTTCTCTAGCAAGTGTATACTCCTTCTGGCAATGAAAATGTTTTTAAAAAATTGCTAATTCAGTTGGGATCTTGTACAAAGTGAGGTTGGGAAAGTGAATGAAACTGGGTTCCAGCCTTTGAATAACTCACAGTCGTGGAAGGAAGATGGAATGATGATAGCTAACATTTGTTGGGCTTTGTCTGTATTCTAGGCAGTATGCTGGCAGTTTCTGTGTCATAATTTAATCATCATGAAAGCCCCATAAAGAGTTATCTCTGCTTTATAGATGAATAAACAGACATGGCCAACCAACTAGGAGTGAACTCAAGCATTTTGCTCCAGAACCATGAACTTAACCACTGTGTTATTCTAGCTCCTTGTTATGGTTTGGATAATGTTTTGTCTCCATAGTTTCATGCTTTGGAATATGATGTTTAGAGGTGGCAAAGCCGTGCCCTAAAGCACAAACCTCTCAAAAAAAAAAAAACGAAACAAACAAACAAACAAACAAAAAAACAGTTATTCAACTCCTGATAGTTAAATGGAAGCTTTTTATTCAAAATCCAACTAGCCATGGTATAAGTGAAAATGAGTTAAAATCGTTAAATCAGGGACTGTCCCTGTTGCCTAGTGGTTAAGGGAGCTGGCTCCCATATGGCCAACCACCTGATTTGAGACCTGGAGGCTTTAAAAACATTCTGTGTATGTGTGCGTGTGTGCTCCAAATTCTGATAGGCTGGAGAAATGGAAGAGAAGAGAATGTGGCATGACACAGGAGGTACTTTCTCTAGCAAGTGTATACTCCTTCTGGCAATGAAAATGTTTTTAAAAAATTGCTAATTCAGTTGGGATCTTGTACAAAGTGAGGTTGGGAAAGTGAATGAAACTGGGTTCCAGCCTTTGAATAACTCACAGTCGTGGAAGGAAGATGGAATGATGATAGCTAACATTTGTTGGGCTTTGTCTGTATTCTAGGCAGTATGCTGGCAGTTTCTGTGTCATAATTTAATCATCATGAAAGCCCCATAAAGAGTTATCTCTGCTTTATAGATGAATAAACAGACATGGCCAACCAACTAGGAGTGAACTCAAGCATTTTGCTCCAGAACCATGAACTTAACCACTGTGTTATTCTAGCTCCTTGTTATGGTTTGGATAATGTTTTGTCTCCATAGTTTCATGCTTTGGAATATGATGTTTAGAGGTGGCAAAGCCTAGTGAGTGTGATTTGATCATGGTGATTGCATCACAGAGGCACTACTCATGAATAGGTTTATGATGGCTTGCGAGACCCAGTGAATTCTAGCTCTCCTGAGAAGCTGTTAGTTCTGGCAGGAGCTGGTTGTTATAAAAGAGAGCTACTTGCAGCTCCTGCTCTCTTTATTGCATACGCCTGTCATCCTCTGCATATCTGTTGGTCATATTATAGTCTGGCATG